CAACAGATGTATGTGCAGAGTAAGGTGAGATTGATTTCTGAAAATGGAGATGAGATGTGATGTTACTGTTTCTCTGAGGTCTTCAGTATTTATTCATGTTCTTCACATGCTTGGACATTCATCTTCAGCTAACTCAGCTGCTTGGCCATTAACTCTGCACAGCTCTCATTGCTGCAGCTGTGGACTTGAGCCAGAGGTCTGCATCCCTTCTCAATTTTCCATGTGTTTCTCCAGCTCCATTAGGAGATCTCTGTGTTTTAGTCTGTCTGCCAGGTAGGCTTCAGATTCATAGAGGGAAAGTAAGCAAAACTCCTGAACCTTTCTTGCTGTTGTAAAAAGAGAGATAGCAAAGGTAGTGGAAATGGGTCAGGTGGCCCAAGCAGTGCCTGCATTAGTCTTTTCTTTTCAAGGTGGTCCAGGCATTGCTTTCTGCTTGATTTCAGGGTTAGGAAATAAAATAACTGAAACTGTGCACTAAGTGTACTTTATATTGCCATGTATTCATATATAGACTTAGTACAGCTAAGAATTAGCCAGAATTGAACCATTTATAATGGCTTTTTATCCTTGTTGCACTAGGACTTGAAAGAGAAAAAAACACAAAAGAAAATTCTTAGTATGTGTAACTTAAACACATAATTTTCTTTCTTGAGCCCTCTTAATTAAACCACATCCTTAATCATATATTTAATGTTGTAGAAAACTCCTGGCATGAATGTAGTTATACTGCTGATTATGCCAAAATCTTTTATTCCAACATAGAAATAGAAAGAAATGGCATGAAGGATACTGATGGACTTGTCACTTTTGGAGATTTTATCTATTTATAGGCAATCTTGCATTTATGTACATGTATATAGGTGCAAACCAAGCTTAAATTAATCATATCTTTACAGCCTCACCCTTCCCAGGAAATGCTGTTATTTTAAATGTTTGCAAGTATAACAGCCTCATCAGTTGTGCCCACCAAGAAAAATAAATTAATAGGAACAATATGTGGAAAACGTGAATGGAGAATGGGAGTGAAATCCAAGTGTAAATAAATACAGATTCAGATAAATTACTTGATAAAAGAAACTGACTTAGACTCAGACTTTTTGAATGCATAGGACTGGTAGTATTAGGTAGAGATAGAAATAAAGAGCTAAAGGTAAATTGCCCTACCATTTTATTTGCAAATCCCATTAATTCTGAAAATGAAGGAAGCAAATATAAAAACGTGGGGATGAAATATTGCATTACTTTTCCACATTACTTAATGCATATTAATGAGGATTTTCAGGGTTCCTTTTTCTTGCTGCTCAGTTCCTGTAGTATTGTGTAAATTTTGAAAATGCCAAGAGTCTTCTCTATGTCCTTTCACTCATTACTGTTGTAATGTCTTCATACTTGGCCCTTTGTACAGCAAACTTAATGATCTCTAATTGAATTATGAGAGTTTTATGCAGTGATGCAATATGAGAGAAGTGTTAACTTATTCTTGTAAAGCTTGCTAATGTATATAACCTTTAGTCTGGTTATTTTCTCAGAATGCTGGAAAGGATTAGAACCATACCCTTCCTGACTTTCTTCTTAGGCAGTAACTAGCAGTGGGAAGAAGTGAAGGAAGAAACTCTTCCTTTCAATGTAATTCTTCAGCAGAAATCTTCATGCAGCAGAGAAGCCAGAAGATTTTGGAGAGAAGAAATCTCTCTCTATGAGTTTGAATAGTGACAAAACTGCACTGAAGAGCAAATATTTTTGATTCTGTAAGATTCCAAATTGCTCTAAATGGAAAGTTTCCTCAGAGAGTATTCATGAAAAGAATAAAATTATTTATTTGTCTGGACACTGGAAAAATTGCTGTGGAAAGACTGCATCAGTAAACTGCCCTTTGAGATGCAGAAGGTGCTGCTTTCAGGCATCATAAATGCAAGGTGTAAATACTGCCTGACCTGCTTAGATGCACAAATTTTCTACTGAAAACTTAAGTTGGATGTGAAATTATTCTGCTGTGCATACAGAGGAGATGTCATTTGAACCTGTGTGTACTTGTGTGCAGCAAAGCTGTTCTGGGAATTGCATGCCTTTGCATCTGTAACACACTGACAGTCTTGAATTAGTTTGAAAATCAAGTAGAGGCTGTTGGTTTCAGTAATGGCTGTACCACATTTCCACTGTATAGGAAACCTGAATTCCATTCCCTTCCCAGTCAGCAGATTTCAGTAGCCCTGTTGGTGCAAATGCTGCTGCACAGCAAAATTGCTCTGCCCAGAAGAAAGTGAGAAATAAGTTTCAGGAACTGTCCCAATGGTTAAGGCTGCCTGCAGTGACAGCATGTGGGTGAGTTGCTGTGTCACTGGTTTCCAAACTTCATTGAGTTTTCCTCCTGTGCACAGCAAACAGTGAATGTGTATGGGGGAGGCTATCACCTGTCTCTGACCATGCTCTCATGGAGTATGGCTGATGCAGCCAGGTTTTATTGTGCCACCTTTCTCTCCTGCCTTTGGTGAAGACAGAAATAATACTTTGTGAACTCTACTCTGGAGAACTGGGTCTTACACTACTACCCCATTGGTTCAAGGCTCTGATGTTTAGTAGCACTGCTAGGACCTTATCTTTTGTGTGCACTCAGATGCAGAGAAATTTGCCTGAGTCTTGATTCAGATCACTCAGATATATTGTGTTTGCTCTACAGCCCCTCATTTTGGGAGCTCAGAGCAGAAGCCTTTACATGAGCTGTTTATTTTCCCTTTGTCTGAGATAGGCAGTTTTCTTTAGAGGACTGTTTCCCCTCACTCTAACATCCCTTTTGCTATCAAACTGGCATATAAAATACCGAGATAAAAAGCATACAGTGGAAAGAATGGCCATAATGAGTCACACTGAAGGTCCACCCAATCCAGTATCCTGTCTCAGTTAATCCCTCATTAAATCTTGTGGCTTTAATTTAAACAATTTAGTGGTGCTGGGAGATAGCCAGAGGTTTGCTCCTGCCACCCTATGTATCACCAGCGTTACAAAGCCTGGGGTTGGTTGTGGGGCTCTGTCCCTTTTAAAGTGGAAAAAATAAACAACTATGAGGATGCCTTGAAAAATACAGTAACACATGTGCTATTTCTCCACTAATACTCTCTCAGTCTGCCACCCTTTACTTGAGCTGGATGCAACATCTGTGTATTTATTTAGTAACCCTTTATGAATTTCTCCTACATCAACTTCCATACGTTAAAAGTGGTTTGGTATAACTGAGAAGTGGGAAGCCAGTTCTATGTGTTTTCCTGGTTATGTTTGGTAAAACCACAAACTAATCACTAGGGAAAAAGAGGCCAAAAGTTTTCATTCCTGGATTGGGTGGTGTTTCTGTAAGTTTCAAGTACACTTTTGATGCCTGTTCAATAACTACTGTGTTGACAAGATAAAGCAGCTAGGTCTCTGGGGTTGTTGGTTTGGCATCTCTTTTTAACTGTTAAAATGCAGTGCTATAATATTATTTTCTTTCTAGTAAATTGAGCATTGGAATCCTCATTATCTGGTTGCTTAAGCTCTAGTTTTATCCTTTTAATTTTGTTTCCTGTTAATAGGTCCATTTTGGCCTACTAAACATTTATTTTGGTTTATACTTAAAACCTTGCCATGGAAAAGGCTGGAAGAGATTTTAGAATGATCAATTGTGCAAACCACCAACAAACCAAATAATCTATGTAAAATGTCTACCTCTACTATATTCTTTTATGTATTATAAGCCTAATACTTATACACAGTTTCATAGTTTAAAATTGATCCTTTTTCAAATAGCTGGAATAAAAACCTGCCACTTAATCTGTTTGAATGAAGGTGATATCCCAGGATTTGTGTAGCAAAACTGGAGTTCTGGATCTTATGTCCTATCCCATAGACTCCAAGATGTGTCTGATTTCTTACCCATTCTGACACAAGGTAATATGAATAACAAAATATGGCTCTACCTTGCAATTATCTGTAATCTGAAGGAGAAATTTAATAACAGAATAATTATGGTCATGCTTTGTTAACTTCAGGGAATTACATTAGGTGGGAGTAGAATTTCCTGGAAGTTGACTGCTCTGCAGTGAAATGAATTCACCCTGAAAATTGCATTTTACATTGAAGGATGAGATGAGAGAATACAAAAGAGATTCAGTATACTTTCTTTCACAGTCTTGAAATTAATGGATCTCTAATACAGTACCCCAAAAATGTATCTTTTACCAGTATGATACCTTTTTTCATTAAGCATAGTGAATAAATCTTTCTTAATTAAAATAAATTAGTCAAATAATATTTTTAACAGCAATATGAGACTTAAATTGCATCTTTGCTTGACGTGGGGTTATATTTCATAAACCATGATAGCAAAGGAGACATAAAAAGAGGAAAAAAAAATCAAAAGTTGAAGATATATGTAATCTTAGATGTTGCAATACACCATCTGCAGGACTTGGCTTTGCTGGGGAAGGGCTGGGGCTTGTTGAGACCCTGACTGCTGGTGTCAGTCTCAGTCCTGGGGTAGAGGAGTGGGAACTGTCCCAGACTCCCTGAAGCAGCCAGGTGTGAGGCTGAGACCAAAGCAGCACCTCCCCACCAGTAATACATAAACACTTGCCATGTTTTGGATCTTTTGGTAATGTCTTTTGATAATTGCTACAGAGTGGGATAGTGTTTGGACAAGTGTGACTAGGAATGTAACCTACTTGTCAATGTGCCTAGCAGGAGAAGTATATAAATGCACCCCGGTGAAAACTGAGCTTCTGCAAAAAGGCTGGTGAGTGTTGCTGAGTTTAGAATCTCAATTTTGGGCTTACATGACTGACACTTTTTGAGTCAATGGTTCATTGAAGAGTGGCCACATCTGGTCTTACAGATTTGATGCAGAGATGTTCCTCAGAGACAGTTTTAAAACTGCAGAAGCTTGGATTTTTTTTGGTAATACAATAACACTGTATTTTCTTTTCATTTTCCCCCATCTAGTTTTGTATCAAGACCTTGAGAATAAAATACACATGGCACAGATTGTAACATTTTTTCAGATGCTGTTAGTTCTGCTACTGCATGATTATATCTCAGCTGAAGATGGCGAAACAAGAGCAAGTAGGTCTTAATTTTTGCATTTCAGATAAGTGCAACTTCAAAGCATGCCTCAAATTTTTAATATCCATTTTGGTGTTCACATGTACCCTTCTGTTGATGGTGATTTTATTTCAATAAAGTTTTCCTGGTGAAAATCCAATGATATAAAAATAAAATAAAAATAGCTTAAATATCTTATTTCTTCACTAGGATGGAAATGTCTTTACTTGTGTCTTGGAAATGCCCAAGGTGGCAGATGGAACTATAAAGCTCCAGTGTTGATTTAAAATTGAGTTTGAGTATTTGTATTTTCATTGCGTCAGAAGTCATGTTCTGAGTAGCTGAGTGTTATGTGAGAAACTAAATAAGGAAGAATAAAGCTTCCTCTGTGAGAGGAAGCTAGCTCCAGTTAGCATTTCTCCAGCAGATTGTGGTCACTTGCTTTCAAGGAAGGTGAAATCTTTTCTTGATCGAAGTGTCCATAGGCAGATTTCAGGGTAAGGCAAAGCTCTCCTCCCTGTGGTGGAGCTGCAGACTTTCAGAAAACAAAAGGACAGTAAGCCTCATGGCCTCATGTGCCATGAGATCAAAATAATCCCTCCTGCTTTTGGCCATGTCCTTGGCACCTCATGTGTCAGTTATCAAAACCTCTTTCACAGTCAATGGAAGGTGATTCTCTCCTTTAGAAAGTTACACCCTCCATCTGAGAATGGCTATGTAGCATGGAAGGACTTTGCTCTGAAAATGCTTGTGTCTGTCCATTGCCTGTAGTTGGCAACTTAGTCTAAAAACTAAGTTCATGACTGCAGCTAGGAGAGCTGAATCCATGCCTAAGTCATCATGCAGTTACAGGTAGTTAGTTAATGCTTATGAGATTCTGTATTCTGGAGGTTGAGCTCATTCACTGAATACTTTTCTTCTGTAAAAATCAGAATATGCTACCAGCAACATTCAATTGAGACTCAGGATTTTATAATACTAGTTCTGTAAATGCCATTTAGCAGTGTCCAAAGTCAATTAAAAGGTATTTGTAAAAGGATTCTGGAGTATTCAGGCTATAGCCTTCCTCTGCAGTGTGCTTGGTTTGCTAACAAAAAGGAGTTTTTATGTTTAGCATCTCTGCAGATGAGATATGAAAAGACCCAATATATATTCCTCTCTGTTTATTGACTAGAATGCAATTGCCAGCTAAGGAACTGAATTCCAGAATTTTTCATAGTTGTTTCTGGAGCTAATGTAAAAAACAGATAACACCTGCTAACCAGGTGTTGCTTTCAGGTACCAAGTTGGATCTGTGTAGCTTACACAATCTTACACAAGTTTGCCCTGATGAACTCTGCTATTTTTTTTTTCAGCTGGAATGCATATGTCAGTATAGATCCTAATATAAACATTAATTGATAAGACAAACATTTACTGTTGAGGAAGAAAGGGAAAATGTTCATTAAAATATTTGTTTGATTTTTTTTTAGGTTGCCGAACTGCTCCAGCAGATTTAGTTTTTATCTTGGATGGCTCTTACAGTGTTGGCCCAGAAAACTTTGAAATAATCAAAAGTTGGCTTGTCAATATTACAAGAAATTTTGACATAGGGCCAAAGTTTATTCAAGTTGGAGTTGTCCAGTACAGTGATTACCCTGTACTTGAAATTCCCCTCGGAACTCATGAATCCACTGAGAACCTCATCAGGGAAATGGAGTCCATACACTATCTGGGAGGAAATACAAGAACAGGAAGAGCTATTCAGTTTGCCTTTGACCATCTTTTTGCAAAATCTTCACGATTTTTAACAAAAATAGCAGTAGTTCTCACTGATGGAAAGTCCCAAGATGAAGTCAAAGATGTAGCAGCAGAAGCAAGGAAAAATAAGATCACTTTGTTTGCAATTGGTGTTGGCTCAGAAATTGAGGAGGATGAACTTAAAGCTATTGCCAATAAACCTTCATCAACTTATGTATTTTATGTTGAAGACTATATTGCAATATCAAGAATTAAAGAAGTTATAAAACAGAAACTCTGTGAAGGTGAGTATAAAATACTTTAGGTGTGCAAAATGTAGTTCTGTACATATATTTTTTAATTTCACAAGCAGAATGCATTATTTATGTAACCTAAGGGACCTGATACTCTTTACTATGATCTTTATTTTTTGGAAATTCCTCCCAAAATGTTATTTTCTCTGTCAAACAAAGAGATATATTTGGGAAAGGTATGGTGGTTTAACACAGTATGTGTTTAATTTCAATATGTATCCTTTTACCCTAAGCCCAAATTTTTTTTCATTGATAAAGTTTAAAAACACTAAAATATTACAGCAATTCTCATAGTGCAAGAATATAGAGTTTGCTTTATTGATTTCCTAGTTGCAACTGATACACACAATCCAGCTTTTCTTCTAGGGAGGTGAGAGGAGAGCCTGGCATTGCAACAAGAGTTCTTCTGAATACATACTTCTAGTATGTAAAAATCATAGAATTGTGGAATGGTTTGGATTGTAGGGGACCCTAAAGATCACCTGGTTCCAACCCCCCTGCCATGGGCAGGGACACCTTTCAGTAGATCTGGTTGCTTTGAGCCCCATCCAACCTGGCCTTGAATACTTCCAGGGATGAGGCATCCATAACTCCTCTGGGCAACTTGTTCCAATGCATTGGACTGACTGTAAAGAATTTCTTCCTAATATCTAATCCAAACCTACCCTCCTTGGGTTTAAAGCCATTCCCTCTTGTCCTGTCACTACATGCCCTTGTGAAAAGTCCCTCTCCAGGTGTCTTGTAAGGCTCCTCTAGGTACTGGAAGGCTGCACTAAGGTGTCCCCACACCCTTCTCTTCTCCTGGCTGAACAACCCCAACTTTCCCAGCTTTTTTCCACAGGAGAGAGGCTCCAGCCTTCTCATTAACTTTGTGGCTTCCTCTGGACTTGCTCCAGCAGGTCCATCCTTCTTATGTTGTGGCCCCAGAGCTGGACTCCAGGTAGGGGCTCATGGGAGTGGAATAGACATCTGGAGTTGTAGCAAGCAGTTATGATGTTTCTTAGAATAATTTTATAGAAGAGTTAGCCAAGACCAATGTTGTAAAAAGTGACTCTTTTAACAGCATTACTGCATTGAGGTTTCTGAAATTTTGTAAAACAATGGCTTTCTTTTATGTATAAAAAAGATAGCAAATTGCTCCTAAAATGTATCACTCAGATTCTAGTATGTCAGTGGTATTTTGTACATGTTTTATTATCAAGAATTGATGCAAGACATATTTCAGTTTTACCATATTTCTGTACTTAGTAAGAGTGAAAAATAGATTTTGTTTGCTCTCACTTTGAGTATCAACTTCATTGAAAAAATATGGTGATGCTTTTGTTGAGGATACTAGTGTTTATTTCCTGCTACATTAAATGAAAACCATAGTAATTCCTTGTGGCTGATGTAGTAAGGTTGTCAGTCCAAAAATTAAATCCGCTAAGTGGAGCTAAATTCTTTAATAGAACTTCATACAGGGAGAAATTCCCCTAAATAAACACTAAATAAACACAATATTTTCTTTGACTAAAGTTTTAGAAGAAGTGCCGTTATATTTCATCAAGATGGATTTTCAGCAACAAGTTAACTAGCATCCTTTGAAATTCATCTGTGGTATTTCACATGATTTACAGCAGTAATCTGTGAATATTGACTATTTATACAAAGTGTACTTACTCTTTCACTTGAAGTGACCCTTTGCTTTGTCTCCCTTACATTGTGCACTTCCCTTGTTATAGCATTTAGATCCTTGCAGAGCAATCAAAGACACTTGGCAGCTTCATTTCCAACCACAATGTCTTTACCAGGTGAACTCCAAGACTGATAGACTGGAATTTTTATAGCTAAGTTGTGCATATTGATTGATTTATTTGCTTACTGATTATTGTGTTGTTAAGATTGACTTTGACTGAGGGAGAGGAAGTTCCATGAGGGCTGAGCAGCAATGGTTTGGCTGTGATCAACTACATGAAACTGCCTGAAAATTTAGCAATTCTCTCTTCATGGTCTTTGTGTAAATGTCTAAAAAAAGCTAGCTGTTGCTCTATGGAGTTTTAAAATCCATTCTGAAGTAAAAGTGTAAACAAAAAGGCCATAGGGGCAGTATTTCCTTTATGGACAATGAAGACTGAGGTTTGGTGGTTCTTGGAGCAAGTATTGCTCTTAGGAACAGGATTGCAGGTGGTGTCTAATGTGCCTTTTGGGGACTCTAGTGTTTGTTTTAGAGTACATCAGGGGAATAAAGACTTCATGAACCTGTCTGCCAGAATTGAATGAAATATTTAATAAATATTTAATATTAATTATTTATTTTCAAAAGTCAATTGTTCCTATACTATCAATATGTTATAACGAGGAAAAAAAAATTGTGTCTTAGGAATGTATTCAGAAAGAAAACCCAGTGCAGACCTTAGAAGTTTGTCTGAAGGATGCAGAGAAAAGTTGCTTTGTCCCAGATACTGGGATTTAACATCATAAAGCTATTTTACACTTTAGGAAGGAAAATAAACATCTGAAAACTATGTAAAAACACTAAAAGGCAAAAAGATTTTAGAAAAGGCTAGAGAGTTGAAGTGACCGGCACTATGGACTAGAAATATAGTCCCATTTCCCATGAAAAATAGCTTTTAATTTTACCACTAATTTCTGCATGTTGTATAGTGGCTCAGTTAGTTATCAGAATAGAAGACCCAGAAAGGATCTACCAGACTGTGAATTTTTCATGTAATTCACCAATGTGCCACTGGAAAGAAAAAACAGTTTCCTAATGTGTAATTTTACACATGCTTAATTTGGTTGGTTGGTATTGGTTCAGAACAGTTATTTTGGCCCTGATCCATCATAATGAGCCTCTTATACAAAATATTCCTATTTCTGCCTTTAGTTTTTGATTTTACACCAAATTTGTAATATTCTATCTGATAGGAGACCCTATACTTGTCGATGTATACGTATGTGATTATCTGTAATCTCTGTTAATTGTGATGTGACTGTTATCCAGCTTTGCTATAAATGAGTTTAGAAAATAGTTCCATGATAACAATGCACATTTGAAGAAACCTGAAAAAGCCACTATTACTCTTACTTAATAGTATAAGTATGTTGACTTAAATCTGTGTTTTGAGAAGAATGAGAAGGGATGTTTTGTTGGACTTCGTTTTTTTTTTCTTTGAAAGCATTCAGGATGCAGACATCTTAATTTTCAAAATGTGTGCAGAGTTCTTGAAATTCTTTATTTTAGAACAGACGAATAATTTATTTTTATTTTGGAAGTCAGGTGTCATTTTGCTGTGGAGAGGAAAAGAAAACTAAGGGGAGTTTATGTGCCTTCTTGCTGCTGTCCCAAGTACCTGTGACATCCCCATGATTGTCCTTTCCCATGACAGACAGGGTTGTGCAGAAAATTAGCAGAATTTTCTTGGAGCATATATATCCTGCCTCCCCCACCAGAATGGGGCAGCTTCTGGCTGCCCTGGGGTTGGTTAGAAAGGGAAGTCATGCAGTGTTGCTCATACTGTGAAAACAAACCAGTCTAGACCTTCAAGCTGATAATTCCCTGGCACAGAGACAGGAGTTCTCCAGCCCATGGCTGGTCCAAATGGAGATAGGAGAACTCTCCACCCCTTCATTGGAATGTATTCCTAACCTCTTCCCTGTCTATGAACTGCTGCTTTTCTGAAGAAACAGTAGGAAATGAATAATGATATTTATTGTAAGCAGTTTAGCATAATTTTAATAAAACAAAAAACTTTATTTTTTATTGATTTGTTATCCTAATGTTCATTTTAGTATTAGGTTTCACTGTCCTATCTCTTTTTTTTTTTTGTTTGAGAAAACTTATGTTGTCACAGAAAATATATCACACACTCTATTTTTCCATTGAGAATAACTTGAAGCAGATTTCAGTGAAACAGACAAAACAGCTGAGAGTCCATTTTGAGTTAAATAAAATGAAAATAAAAGTCAGAGATAATTTTAACTTTTTCTATTTTCAGACTGATTTTATAGTTGGGAAGGATGCTGAATTCAAATTGTTAGTGCATTTTGGAAATTAATATCTATAATTTTATATAATTTTGGAACCATGCAATTTTAGAAATTAAATTCAATATATTCATTAGCCAGATACACTAATACTCTTTAAATACAATTAGTGACATACAGTTAGTGACAATTCAAAATATTATGTGAATGTAATTGCAGTAAAATATGACATCTTAATATTCTTGCTTTAAGTTCCTGAGGATCCTGTAAACCACTTTTCTCATGTTGTACTTAACTGACAGTTTTCAGTTCTCTTTTTATTTCTTGAAAGGCAGATAAAAAAATTAGTTGGGTGGGAGGCTACTTTTCTTGGAAGTCTTAAGTCATATTTTGGACTGTCCTTGCATTTATTACTTTTCAGAATCTGTTTGTCCAACAAGAATTCCAGTGGCAGCTCGAGATGAAAAAGGATTTGACATTCTTGTAGGATTAGGTGTGAAGAAAAAAGTTAAAAAGAGGATTCAAATATCAACCACTAATGCAAAAGCTTATGAAGTAACCTCACGTGTTGACCTCTCAGAATTAACAAGGTATTGAATTTTATAAATGTTCTTCTACATCCAGTAAGATTTTTTTTGTTTCTTTAAATAAGAAGGACTTATTTTAAGATTTATATAAAGATTCAAGTAGTGTCTTGTTTTTTCCACCCTTTCCCCTTATTTAGGAATGTGTTTCCAGAAGGTCTCCCTCCATCCTATGTGTTTGTTTCCACTCAAAGATTTAAAGTAAAGAAGACATGGGATTTGTGGAGAATTCTGAGTCTAGATAAGAGACCACAGATAGCAGTCACTGTTAATGGAGAAGAAAAAACATTATCATTCACTACAACAAGTTTAATAAATGGCACACAAGTTATTACATTTGCTGCACCTAATGTAAAGGTAAGGAGTATATCACTATCATGCTGGAATGCTTCTTTAGGTACACATTATTCCAGTATTCCCCTCTTTGAGCAAACCAGTTTTATTGTTTTCTAGTACAATCTGAAGATTGTCTTTCAGTTTTCTTCAGTAATTTCCAGTGGAGTATTCCACTCTTGTAAAAGAGATTGTCTTAGCTGCAGATGAGACAGAGGATTGGAGATTGAATGACCCTATTATTGCATTTGTAGCAGGAATATGTGCAGCCCAGAGATGGCCCTTCCTGCCACAGGGAGTATTAGTTAAGTGAACAGAGAGGGCTATTTCAGCAGAAAAAGACTGGGAAAGATTTGCTGCTGGAGCACTTCATGGCCAAGTGGGTTCAACTTTTCTGGGAAGTGGAGGCCTGCATTCAAATCCCTACTCCAAATCGGGCTGAAGGAATTTTAAATATAAATCCTCAGTAAAGGAAGGACTCCTATCCAAGGAATAGGTCTTAACTTTTTTATGCTAGAGGCATTTTATACTTCTGTTACTAGATGGAGAATTTTTGCTTTTTCTTTCCAAATTTCCTCTACCTTTTAATAATTATTAGTAGGCGAAATAATTTTTTTATTATTTTAAGAAGCTATGTTAAACTTGATTTACTGGAAACTTGGAACTGAATTAAAAAATCCAGTTTCAAGTCAATACTCTATTTATATTTATCTATTTCTTGAAGCTGCACAAACAAATCAATCTGATTCATGCAGTCCCAGGTATCAAAGAACTTCACCATGATAACACACAACTTCCATGTTTTTTGTTTGTTTGCTTTTGTTTCTCCATGCCTGCCTTGCTATTATGGAGAACAATAATTCCATGGCTTTTTTAGACTTGTGCATCTCTAAACAGAGTATAAATGCCAATACACTCCTAATGAACATTTTTCTTTAATAAAACTTTATGATAATTTATCACCTATCAATTTATCACAAGTACCAATTTTTTTTTCACCATAATTGATAATCTGAAGTGTTTGAGACGTTATACCAGTGCTTATAAATAGGCTTCTGGCTGCATATTTTTAACAAATACAGGTTTGAGCTTGTTCACAGTCATAGACTAAAAAAAAAAAAATCTATGTGAGTTGTAAAATAATTCTGAAATAGGGATTAATTATTACCAATTTTCATATTTTCAATTACAATATTATTTTGCTATACTTCATTTTACTATATAGTTTAGAATAATTTGTATGTAAAATCTTCAGCCTTGATCAGCTCAACCATTAACAGCAGTTTGATTGTTGAAGTGCAGTTTTATCGCTATTTAAATTGAAAGCATTTTGTTTTAAACAATGCTGTTTTCTTTGTTTTTCTTAGACATTGTTTGATGAAGGCTGGCATCAAATTCGTCTCTTAGTAACAGAAGACTTTGTAACTTTGTATATAGATGGCCAAGAAATTGAAACAAAGCCATTACATCCTGTTTTAGGTATTTATATCAGTGGCCTAACCCAAATAGGAAAGTATTCTGGAAAGGAGGAAACGGTACAGGTAGGCATATGTTAAAACTAAAATAATTCAGTAATTCTGTTGTAGGTTAAATTGCATTGGTGGCTTCTGCTTTCTTGAGCTTACTCTTCTAACTTAGAGTAGACTGAAATTTAGTGTACAAAATTTAATACTTAAGAGAGAGTAAAAATGGTCAGGAGGACTTAGCACAAGTGATCTATCCCGTGACATAGATACTTAACTGGTCTCATTGGTTCCAAGGACAAAATTGATGCAATGTGGTTGCCTGAGTTTGGGAAGCAGTGTCTCAAATTTGGGAATTTCCTCTGCTTGACATTTGCACATGATGTCCTTCCATCAGTATATGTACGGGTGATGCTGGTAAAAGAGGAAAATTTTGGTCAAGTTTCTTTCTCCTTGCTTTGCAGTCACAATAGTTTATGCTAGAAAAACTGACAGTGGTTTCATTTTCTTTTGGAACATAGCAACAAAGGAGAATGGCATAAAACTTTTGTTTACCTCATGCCAGTGTTTTTATTCAATGCTTTTTAAAGATTTATACTGTATACTAAACACTAAGCATTAGGGATGCCTTCAGATGCTTCACCAGAATTTACTAATCTTATATCTAATATGAGCAGGTCTGTGTAGAAGCATCTTCCCGGGTCTGTTAAGGTGAAAAGAAAGAGGTTGGGCTTGCCTGTGTTATTAACTTGTTTCCTTAATGATATTGGCAGCCAGTATAGTTCATGCTGCATATGTTTGGATTAATTCCCAGGGAATATGGATGGTGATTTCTGTGACTTTAAAAAAATTCTTGGATTGATTACTTTTATTTAAGTAATTCTGTTACAGTATGTTTAATTGGTTATGCATATTAATCATTATGAGTAACCTAAAAATATTTCCATACAGTTAATTGATTTTTAACTGTAGTGAATGCACAGACCTCTAAAGAGTCTTTTATGTTTGAAATTACAGTTTGATATACAAAAACTGCGGATCTACTGTGACCCAGAGCAAAATAATCGAGAAACAGTCTGTGAGATCCCAGGATTTGTGAGTATGATAGACGAACTTTAGAGGACTACGTGGCATTTTTTTACAAATCACTGTTTAAAGCTGACTTAATGAATTTTTAAAATAGATTAATCTACATTGATTCAGCTGGTGCAAACAGATGTTTGTTACAGGCCTTCTTTGTTTCAATTTATTTTCTCACATTTTTTTCAAGTTGTTTTAGTTTAGGTATTTAATGGTGCATTTTTGATATATATGAGTATAGAAGAATCTCAGAATCCTCTCTTAAAATTTCAGATTTTAAGCATTATAGAATAATGAAACTTATAGGTTTTTTCAGTGTAAAAGTTTGTAAATATGATTTTTCAACTTTTCTGACATACTCCTTGCTACTTGACAGGTCATTTAATCTATGAAATTTTGGTGCATAATCAGCAAACCTGCATTTCTAAATTGCCTTCTCCTGTTTGAAATATCTGTGCTGAGGTCTGTGATAAACACGCCATTATTTGAATTGTTGCCATGATTTCAAGAAGTACATTAAGTACTAGGCAGAAATAAAATCAAGACTTTATGACTCATGTACACAATTATTAGCAAGTTTATGGGGACCTTTGGCCCTCTCTTGCTCCTCTTAAAGTTAATAATGCACTGCAATGTAAGACATATACAAACAGATTTGGAAATCAGTCATGACTGACAGAGCCAGATTTAAGCATTCAGTTCCCATCTCAAAGCATATGCAAGAGATTGATTTAAACATGCAAATTCAAAATAATCTCCTTTGCTTGGTGGATGAAACAAACTGAGCTAAAGATTATCAGTTGCCGGTGTCCTACTATGTAGACCCACATTCCTCATGTTGTGATTAGATTTTGTGTCATTTGGCTGGTTTGACAATAGAACCATTGAATCTCCAGCATCCAGATTTTCTTTTTTGTCAGACTGGCACTTATTGCCAGCTAGTCTGTTTTTCTTCTTTTTCTTTGGGACCAGTGGGTCTATTGCATCCTTATCAGGGCTTTTTCAACTTTCAGTCAAGCAGCAAGTAGGTGAATGGATTATTAGCTGTTCTGAACTCTGAACAGGTGCAGGAATACTTCTGTAAAATTAGCTTTGAATCTTGAAGAAAGTTAAGTATTTATTTAACTATTATTTAACTGCACCACATATCTTTCTGCTCTTTAAAAATTAAAAGTAAGATATGAAGTAATCAAATTAAAAATATTTTGCATAAAGAAAGCAAACACTTAAAAAGTCTTTCATAGCTTATTTTCTTGCTATTTATCAAGGAGTTGAAGCCAAAAGTTGTTTTTTTGCCATTTTAGTTTCACTGTCTGTTTTTGTAAATTAAATTTGGACTTTGCCCATGAAATTCTGGACTCCTTCAGAAAATAAAAATGTTGGATGATCTTCAAGGAGGAATGTGTGGTTTGTGGTTGTATTCTGTCAGAGTGTGGTTGTGTCAGAGTTCCTGAAATAAGCAGAGGCTTTATGTACTAATTACAGACCAAATTAATTCCCTTTCCCAGAGATACCTTGCTGCATAGTAATTTTAAGCTCCTTCTATGATCTGTGGAAAATGAAAACTTTCTCTAGGGTTTGCTCAAGCTGAAAATTGAATACAGAAGAAGCTTTCTGTGTCCACAGAGTGTGTATGAAATCTGCAGTGACTGTGTGCATCAGAATAGTCCTGTGGTCAGTGTGGCTAATGGTGGCTACTAAACTATTAAGACAGAAAATTTCATGGTTGCTCTGCTGAAGTATTTTGGGTTGGATTGTTCTGTGATATTGCAGATACTGGATATCAAAAATCAATTGATAGCAGAGTCTAATGCAGTCACAGGAAAGCAAGAAAAAGCCAGCCTTGCCTCTGTGCTGGTCTGTTTTCCCAGATGCTGGATTCAGGCAGAGAGCAGAGATTTCAGAAATATTTTGGTACATTCTCTGACATGAATGAGCAAGCAGAGCATGTTTTTGATGAGAAGTTACTTCTGGTAAAAGGTTTGAACCAAATCTAAACATTTAGTGTGTAAATACTGACATGGTTTAGTATTAATTCTGTCATTATCTTTTAAAAATTGCTACTGATGACTCCCATTGACAGACCCTTACCAGCAGTTAACTAAATTAATTTAATATGCATTGATAGCAGCTGTACATAAGTCTCAGAAAGTCTAAAAATTTGAATTATAATTTCTTGACAGTTACAGCTCAGGAGTTATGATTGGTTTTGATAGTGTTTCCAAATGAATGTATTTTCTTTTTAGAAATATTGCTGTACTCTTAAACTGTGTTTCTTCTTGTTTCAGAATGGAGAGGTAGGCTCGATCCTAAACTACTCAAACTCATTTTAAGGTAGTATTTGAGTTTTTATAAGCTTCTTAATATTCTAGGTAATATACACTTTGTTTTCAAAAGGGGACAGAGATATGCTAAGCTTAAGAGTGCTGGACTTCCCTTGCTTGAATTCTAGTCAGTAGCCAAATTAAAAATAATTTTTCTGAAAAAACACATGTTTATTTGAATAACTGGTCTGATGTTTTCCCCCAGTTCAACTCATTTGCTGCTATTTGCACGGGGTGGGGGATATGCACAGGGGATAATGCAGCTCTTACCTGCATTGTGCTTATGGGAACTCCCTGAACAGGACCTTTTCTGAAGATCTAATATGACAACTTCCCTAACCTTACCTGTAACTCCCAACTTGTACCATTGCAATGGAAACATGGGTGTTTGTGTTTTGGTCAATCGTTTGACCCCAAGAAAGAATTCCAGTCAAGAAACATCTTAAAAGGTGTCATTATTCTAGAAAATATGAGTAAAATGCTCTGGAAAGTTTTAGATAATAAAAAAAAAAACTTTTCTTTTTAGCTTGGATTCTTAAATTTTTGCCTTTCCATAGGTCTAAGAACTTGCTGGGTTAGGGTTGATGGATGAAAAAGAATTTACTGGATCTAACTTCAACATATAGATTTAGTAGAGATATACCTATAATAGATTTGATTTAGTAGCTCTCCCCTTGCCTGCCCGAGTAAAATACTGAGGTTTCATGTGGGGTTTAATGATGAGAAGTAAATATCACAAAAAAAGAAATAAATTCTAGAGGTTTATGTGATCTGCCAAGGTTTAGTGTTTAGTGCTGCAGGGAGCATGGTTTGGAGGAGGTCACCTAATGGTCTTTGCAGGAGGGGCACTCTTGGCACCAGGACTAGTGTCCTCTAGGAGTCAGTGGTAGCAGCTGTGTCCTGCCTCCCCTCAGGTAGCTTCATACTTGGAACATACGCCTAGGACGTAGGAGACTTGGGGTTTATCTTCTTTTCAGGCTCACTGCACAGCATAGCATGCCAATGGTTGGGATCATTATGCTATATACATCATTTTACACAGTTTTAAATTAACTTGTTATATTTGAGAATTGGTCACACTTCAAATTATGAATATAGATTAGCTAGAAGAATTGGCTTTCAGGTTGCAAGATTTTAAATTTTCAAACTATATGACAAAATATTTGTGAAAAAACAGTTACAGGTGTCAACCCAATACCAGTACTTACTTTTTAAATTTTTATTCTGGATAAAATGATTATATGCATGAAAACTACTTGGAGGGCAATATTCAGATAAGCAGAAGTTCCAGCTGAACAAGGGAGTGAATGCCAAGACCTAAGTGAAAGGCAGCCAGGAAGGTCAGCTTCACCTGGTGTTCCAATAAGTTTGTTGGCTGCCTTTGGCATATGCTGATGGCTGTTTTCACTCTTGGTAGTGCATGAATGGTCCCAGTGACGTAGGCTCAACACCCGCCCCCTGCATATGCCCACCAGGAAAGCAAGGACCTCCAGGCCCCAAAGTAAGTTCTGTTCTGTCTTGTTGAGTGTGTATGACCTGTCTTTCCCTGCTACTCTTCAGCAAATGATTTGGACTGTTAATTGTTTGAGGATGAAATGGTTTTCTGACAAAATCTTTTAATGGAGAGGGGTTTCTTTCTTCTTCTTTGTAAAAGAATGAACTAGATGCTTATTGGGAGAGTTTCACATTAGCTGTGCTGATGACCTGCTTTTTGTGTTGATGAAGAACTAAAATGAGAACTAGCCTTGAGCTGCAGAAGTCTTACATGGCAAACTCAAATCCCCAGTATTTGCTTCATTATCTCTCTCAATAACTGTACTAGGCAATGTTTACAGAATTATTTATAAGTGCAGACAAGAAAACCCCAAATCACTTGTCTTTATTAAGCAAATGAATAAAAACCTTCTTGGCTGTCATCATAAAAGAGGTTACAGTATATTGTAGCTACCTCAAATCTAAGGGCTTCTTGATACAGTGGAGAAGATTTCTGGTCAGGGAATTGAAATCTGAAACACAGAGATCATTATTATTGTTTCATGTAATAGAATATCTGTGGTCTTTTACCTTTTTTATTTTCTTTAGAGAAAAAAGAGAGAGAATGAAGTATTTATAATTTTAAAAGAATTGAAAACCACTTCCTGTAAATTATGAAGGAATATGAAATTTCAGAACTCAGATGATCTATATCTATTGCCTTATGTGCAATTCTTCATCTACAATGCACTGTAATAGTTGTTTGGGAATAATTGAATAATACAGGTGAGAAGATGGTGCCTAACACAAAAGGCTGCAGAAAGTGAAAAGGAAGCCAACTTATGGTTGAATAGGTTGTCTCAATTATAATATATATTTATTAATGTTGAATACTGGACTCTAGAACCATATGAATTTAAACTTAATTTTTCTGTTTGTGATATTAATGGAGTGCAATAAATTGAATTAAATCAAAACAATTTCAAAATACAAGTAACTGATTTTTAAGCTTTTCAAGTTAAAAGCAGAAAATTTCACAGTTAAATAGTATATTTGGAAGCAAATGTTTTCTTTTTTTCTCAAATCCAAACCTGGACTTCTTAATTTGGACAACAATAATTCTGGGCAGCTTGTTCTAATTGAGCAAATGATCACTGTTATGCTTTTCAAAAAAGACATTATTCTATATTATCTTCCACTTGGTTCAGCATTACACTTCTGTGGTTTGTATGTGAAATGATGTTTTTTCACATTCATATTGAAAGCTAGTTTCCTGTTTCCCTTCTAATGTCCTCCCTATTTATAACAATTCTGCAGTTCAAAGTGACCCACAGGTCTGGTAATGGTTCAGGCTGAAGAAATAAATACCTGCTTAACACCCCTGCAGAAGTAAAATAGTTTAGAGGGCAAGTCTTTTTGGATTTTGTTGAGTTCAAATCAAAGCTGTTATTGAAACAAATAGAGAAAGTCAATACTCTAGGAGGATATACTGAGTAGGGTGTTCCTGCTTTCTCACCATAAACATGAAGCCTTGGCAAACAACTTTCCTTTTACTTCAATCTGACTGTAAGAGTGATTATCAAAATAATTGCAAAGAACTTATAAGAAAATCTAAAAAATATCTTTTTCAAGAGCAATGGTTGTGTGGAGAGTTTATTATTTTACAGGTTTTATTCCTATCTTAAGAATTAGGCTCAGCTAAAGCAAATGAGAGATTTCTTCAGAAAATTAACTACTTCATTAAAGAAATTTTATTAAAGATTGTTTCATCTACTTGATAAAAAATGTTTCTATTTGCTTTCATTTAAGTGCTAAAAGACTAGAAAGCTTTTAAGTTGATGGGTGAAACTTTTGCTGTAACCAAGTGTGGATTCACTTGTCCAAGAACTGCACAAGAAGTTGGGGAGAAGTCAGGGAGAATTTCCCCCCACAAAGCCAGTTCTTTTTCACTGTAGGAATTGCTCCTCAATAGTAGCTCTCTGGACTTGTAGAGACTGTTTTATGGAATGTGTTAGGGCTAAGGTTTCTTTGTGCTCATTTGAAAATACTCTTACAATTTAAAAATGCTTATATATTTTGTGTGTTCACATGTTGCATCTCCATAGGGTGACCCTGGGCAGCCTGGGAATCATGGTTATCCTGGTCTGCCTGGTCCAGATGGTAAGCCTGTGAGTACTAAAAACTTAGTCATCTATTGTAAATGTAAAACTAACAGGAGAAAAAACATGGAACACTGAAATTTTTGAAATTTAGATCATTTTTTTGCCTTTCTCTGAAACTGTGAATGTCATTTAACTGTATGCAACTGTTGTATAAATATGTCAATCATTGTATTTCTATTTCAAGGTAAAATACTGTAAATATTAGAGTTGGGTACTGTTGTAAAGCAGAGAACAGTGTGTTCTCTGCTTTACAACACTATGAGTGTTTCTGTTGATCTTTGCATTACTTTGCAGCAGTTATGTTACTACCTCAGTCTTTACTCCTTAAGAATTTGTTCACTAGAAAGCACTTTGGGTCACCTGAAATCCTATCTATTTTTTTTAGGGCTTGCTCCTTGGTTGATAGAATTTCATGTAGGCTACCTCAAGTAGTCCATCAGAACATATAGATATGCATGTAAAATTAAAAAAAAAAACAGATCTTCTTTAGTTCCAAACAGGTTAATTTCAATCACCCCCATCACTGGTGGTGATTCCATCTGTAAGCAGAGTTAGTTTAACAGGAAGAAAATAGATGCTAAAATCAAAAATGTAATAGTTTCTAAAAATTGAAAATTTCCCTCTTTTAAAATATGGGGCTTATTATATTGAAACCTGAGCATGCTAACCCTGATAGTACAGGTGAGCAGTGCGTACATGAATTTTTCATCAGTCCCACAAGTAAATATACTCATTTTACATGTGATATAAAATGTTTTTATCCTTTTGCTCTTAAACAGCTTTCGATAGCTATTAAATTCAGGAGTTTTTTGAACCAGAGTTGGAGAAGACAATCTGAATTGAAACTATCAGTGCTTTAAAATACTGCATTTTGATTTTAGACGAACCTGAAAATGCAGGTTTTAAAGTACTCTAAGATGGGGAAGTCTATTTAACCAGAACAGCTTTTCAATTGATATTTGGTGGTGCTTAAGCTTATGAAGAGCAGTTCTGATCTCCTATAAAAGACAAGTATACAGACTGTCTGAACATGGAGTTGCATGGGGGAAGGGAGCCATCACATCTGACCATGCTGATTTCTGGAAATAGATTTGCAGTATTGATAAGCATAGCAGAGCTGCCTTCAATCCAGCTAAATCTGATACTTTGAAAAGTAAAATGTTATCATGTAAGCTTTTGTGAAGGCAGAATGGACTGGATATTGGTAGGGAAATGTCAGCTCTTCTCCTCTTCTCTTCTCTTCTCTTCTCTTCTCTTCTCTTCTCTTCTCTTCTCTTCTCTTCTCTTCTCTTCTCTTCTCTTCTCTTCTCTTCTCTTCTCTTCTCTTCTCTTCTCTTCTCTTCTCTTCTCTTCTCTTCTCTTCTCTTCTCTTTTCTCTCTTTTAACAAATAGATTAAGACTTCATTTCTGAAGCATCCAGTCAGGTACAACCATATTGTTTTAGAAACAATTTGTTATGACTCTTTCATATTTTAATAAAAAGATTTCCACTTCAAGGCTATTTATCCTCCCATAAGCACTAGAATTTGTAACAGCATGAATAATGAAGGAGAAATATATTGAAACTGTAGACCTACTGTAACTTTGTAATCTGGCAGTCATGGCTTATTTTTTTCTGCAAATAAGTCATAATGTGCATAGATGGGCATTCTCTGAACATAAAAAAGATTACCAGAGTATCTCAGAATGAGAATCAAAAAGCTCCAGCACAGGAGAAGTTGTATGATTTTGCTGAAGGACTTACATTATTTTAAGTGCTTGCTGCTAAATCCTGTAACTTTATTAACTAAAGAATGTTTCTGAAATATCATTTGTAGTTTTTGTGCCTGTTCTTTGTAAGGACATAATTGCAAACCAATTAGATCATCTCACCTTTGGCCAGTACATTATTTTCCTTACAGCAGATTTTTGAGTGCATTCCAGGCGACCTTTTAGCTGTGAATGGTCAGAGACTCTTTAGATCCACTGTGCAGGAAAACAGATTCCTCTCTCTGTCTTTTTCTTTCTGTTTTACTTTTGTATTTGCTAATACAACTAGCACGTTTTCTGTGCTGTCAGTGATTTTTCTTGTTTGGGGAAACTTTGCTCATCTGAATCTTTTTAGTTTTGTATCTCAGGGAACTTTGAGAAACAAGCATTTAATTCAGACGGCACCATAGGCTTACAGGTAGTTGTGTAGTCAGTTTTGTTTAATCAAATGGCTTTTGCATGAAAAGCTTTTCCTGCAAGTCAGTCTTTTCTGTTCCCAAGCACATTTTTATGTTCTTCTCTAAAGTCTTTCCAGTTTGCCTATCTGTTATTAATTTTCTTGGAACACTATAACTGGTCAACAAAATGTTTCTTCCTCTGAGAAGGGTTTTAGGCATGCATTTATATTACTATGTGAAACTGATTTTAGAGTAAAACATCTTATAAAATTTAGCTTGTTGTTTGTGGGCTGGCTATATTGTTGTAATACTTACTGTTAGTTTTAGTCCAGAAAAATTAAAAACAATTCCTAATATCTAAAAACTTACCAGAACATAATTGTCTACCTGGTGTTAGCAGTAAAATTGTTTACTCTAATATTTGGGGAAGTGAACATAAGCATTACTTTTTTTCAGACATTTCTTAAGTGTTATTTTTATTAGTTTTATTCAGACAATCTTTGTTTTTTCCCCTTTAATTGCCACCTCTGTTTATATTCTGATACATACAGAAGAGATGAATTAAAGAAACTGTAAAAAAGCCTGAAAGTGAGAAGCATAAATAATGAAAATATGTTTTTTCAATAAAAAATGTAATTTAGAAATGGAAATTATTAAACTGTCTAGTCAAGAAAAAACCACTGATAAATAAGTGCAAAGATAAAAATGATATTTGAATTTCAAATGGAACTCATTTTCATGAACATTATTAATCAGAAAGAAGGAATTGGAGTGATTTCTGGCCCTGGAAGCACTCAGCAGTCTAACTGTGTGGTCACAAAGCCATTTTTTATTCCAAAAGATGCTTTGTATGTACTGTGGAAAAACTCAGTTTAAGGGGAAAAATAAATTATCAGAATCTATGCAGTGATCACTTGTGGTTAATAGAGGTAGGTTATCAGTCTGCAGACAGAAATTTTAAAAATCCACCCATTTGTCAATTTTGAACTGTGAACCTGCAGCTGGCAAATCTGGACAATTTTCGAGTATTCCATCTAGTTTCACTCATGAAAGTTTGGAACAATTTGCCTTGTCTTTACAGTATGTACAAGAAAATAAAATAAGAAATGAGAAAAAATAAGCAGTTTATAAAAAAAAATCTTGTGAGACCAACTTTACTGATAGAAGTAGATATGGAATTCATAAGGTATCAAAAGCCACACATAATAAGTAATTTCTGATCATTCCAATATATGTTTTAAAAGATTATAGAACATTATTACAGCTGTATTACCTAGAGCTTAATATTTGGTGACCAACTGAAGGCCAAACCTTTTGTGATGTACTTACTTACTATAAGAGCAATGATGAGCTATTTCAACAATACTTTTGGAATAAAAATGGGTAAATAGTTTCACATATACATAGAATTCCCTGTGTGTTCCCAGATGGCTTGCCTGGGATTTAAGTTGTTCTAAACTCTGGAGCTACTTTTCTCAGAAAACTCTCATAGACAGAGTTGATAATTCAGCTGTGAAATGCTGTTCTCAATTCCAGGAAAATATATATTACTCAGTAATACTGTGGCATTTTTATTGTTAGAGGAAATCTTTCTGCTCTGTTCTGATGCAGTCATGTAAAGCCTTTCCTGAGACCTACAAGTCTGGAATCAGAGCAATGCCTGATGCTGACTTGTGCTGCAGAGACAGCTGTAGAGTTCAGACAAAAGGCCACATCACTACCTGCAGCAACTGCCAAAGGCAGAGATATGATAAGGATGAACATCTAAACAGTGAGCAGGAAGTTAGACTCCCTTAGTATATCATCCTATCTCCCAATAGCCTGAAGCTTATGAACTTTTAAAGCTGGATTTACAGCCTTTTATTTAATGATCTTGTTGGATCTTTTTTCCTCTGAGCTATTTGAGAACATTGTGTTTAGGTAAAATATTCTGCTAGGGGCTCTGAATTATGAAGGCCTTGGCAGATGATGGAGTAGCTAATGGAGGAAAGTGTAATGAAATGCAGAAATAATAAACATGGATACATGTCTGCATAGTTACAGCAATTTCTGTTAAGATGTAATGTATTATATGAAAAGAGTTTGAAGACTTGTAATGCTTTAGATAGTTGTGCTTTAAAGATTTTCTGCAAGAAACTCCCACAAGAGGTCTGCAGACTTTGAGAGTGTTTTCTTAACGCCAAGTTAAATTTTCCTTTTGCAGTTGAATTCCATTATGCTTAGTTACATCACCCTAAATAGTTCTTTTTATTTAGTGTTTACAGTTCTTGAATATCTTTAGACCATTACTGTTGATCCCTGGTTCCTTCCTAGCCAAATTGAGCTTGCTTACTTCTCCGTTTGTCTTTCCCAAGCCATCTTGTGTTCATGCCTTTGGTGTGGATGTTGTCCATTGATTCCAAAAGCTTTTCATTATGGGAGTGTGCAGTGCAGTTCTCATTGACTTATCCATAAACCCTCTATTTTAATTTTAATTTTAATTTTTATTTTTATTTTATCCTAATCAGAAGAGATATGCCTAGGAATGCTTTGTGAACTTTTGTCCTTTAGGTGTGCAAATGCATTGAAGATATACTGAGCTTTCCTCTGCTGTTGCACTCAGAGTTCTCTGCAATTCTCATCATATGTCCTTCTTGCTCACTTTTTTCCCTTACAGGCAAACTAAGTTTCTTTTTCCAGTAAGGATGATTGCTATTTTTTTGTGGCTGTTATATGTTCTTTGACCTAAGAAGTGTGTACAGTCTTTTTCCTTAGAACTATTTGCAAATTATTGCCATTTTCTTTAAATTCCAAAGTTTCATTTTATCTGTGATTTTTTCAAATACCCAGCAATCTGGGACAAAACTAATCTCAATGTCCTGCTGTTTATCACTTTCCTTTTAAGGATTTTCAGGCACTAGAAAATTATCAGTACCATTCTCACAACAGTAAACAGTGAGGTAAATTTTGTGTAATCCTGATTTCAGATGAACCGATGTAAAATAATAAATGAGAATATAAAGTGCTGTGGAGTAGTGCTGACTGAAAACATTGATGAAAAATTATAGGTAGCATTCATTTTCAGGCACATACATTTAGGATTTAAATGGGTACAGAGACACAGGGTGTCTACATTCTCATAGTAGTCAACTATTTAATTAATATACCACAAAATGTATGGGATTTTTATGCTGTGAGGTATTTTTTCTTGCCCACACTGCAAGACAATTATTGCCTCCCAAATACTTTGTGCCACTGTCTTCTAACATTGGGTGAGTGTCTCAGGAGTCTCAAAAGGCAGGAGCTGCCTATATTCAGGCAACTGCATTCTAAACTGAATATCAAATTCAGAGTTAACTATAACACTTCTCATGCTATTTGAAAAGTTTATGAGAGAAGACCAAACTCAGATAAAAATTATTAGTTTTGGTGGCAAATATAGTGTGTTCACCCTATTTGAAAGAGAACCTCCAGTCCTGAACTCATCAATTGAAAAGTGAGATTTCATCTCTGTTAATTTTACATAAAATGGCAGCCATGGCACTGCTATTCTTGCAGATATGTATGTATGTCACACAGGCACTCCTACTGAGGACTTTGTGATAAGGGAAAGAAGATTTGAGCTGACTTTAGTGCAAAAAAAAAATTGTAGGCATTAGCATCTAGATTGGTGATCCATACTGCAAAAGGAGTAGTGATACAAATATATACTCATTTTTTAATGAAATCATTGTTTTTTTTTATTTTATAGAAGGTGTTTTTTAACTTGCCCAAATAATTGCGCTGCTATTGCACCAGATAGTGATTCTAGCTTTTGTGACTTTCTGTGAATTTCCTTTTGAATCTTGTCTCTTCCAGCTTTCCATTAAAAGAACACGTTGACAATGTGTTTGATTTGTATTGAAATCACATTACAATATCTAGCCCTGAGCTAAATATGCAGTTTTGTAAGCTGAAAACTCTTCTGCTGTCCTCCATTCATCTTGTGATTTTGAAATTTAGTTCAGCCAGGAAATTGTCCTCTTCTACTTCCCCTGCTCAGTTAAAGGGAGAAGGGAAATTGCATTGCAGAGATCTAAATTGTGAAATAGAGCTTTATTTGTATAGAATTATATCCTACAGAAAGTCACAGCGATTTTTTTGGAGAATAAAAAAATGGATAAACTTTTAGAGGCATTTTTTGATTTGGTGAATTGTTTCAGATACCCAGGAGGCCTATAAGCACTCTGGGGATACTGTACCATTTACAGTTAAAGCTGATTTTGGGGATACTGTACCATTTACAGTTAAAGCTGATTTTGCTAGAACTGCCTTGAGCACTAAAAGTAAAATGCTTGATACGGGATCCATGTATGACAGAGACCTAGAATTCTGTTTACTTCTATATTAAACATTACCAGCTGGCTCATCGGGCAACTGCTCAAATGTCTTTTGGGAAGAGGGCACAGCAAGGACTCTCTTATATCTAACCCAGCAAATAATTTTAGCTCTGTTTATTATTCCTAGGAAGCTCTGACTGATTTAAAGAAGAAATCAGACAAACACATTGCCTCCTTTGTACTGAAAACGTTCTATTAGTGCCTTTTTGCCAGTGTGGAAATCACCCCTGGAAATGTTTTTGCCAAGGTTTTAAGCTTGACACCCATTTGGAAATAGGATTATTACTTCTCTCAGTTCCAATCAAGATCAGATTCTGGGTATTTGAAATTGGATAGCCTGTTTAATGGGATTTATCAAACTTAGTTTTGTCTGCCTGCTGAAATGTCTGAACCAAATAGCCTCAGAATATTATAGAACAATTTCTCTTCTTGCTTTATATGTTTTCTTTAAAAAATCCTCTTGGTAGCTCATTTTGTCTACTGCAAGGACATGTTTTTAAATGAGCTATGCAAAATTCTTATTCTTCAGTAACTTGCCTCTCTTAAAGGATTTTTTTAAAGCCCTTGTTAATTTTGCATGAAAACTGGCTATCTTTGCTTTACCAATTGAATGAAATATACTAAAATATAGACATATATTTTGATTTTTGTAAAGGTTCTTTTGTTCTGCCAATGTTGATTTCTAGCAAAGCATTCCTGAAATTCTCTTTTTAACTCATGAATTATTTAGTATTTCTTTTTGTAGTCTCAGTCATTCAAATTATTTTTGTTTGTATAGACTGTTATATACCTTCAAGTTCATAGCTAAGTGCTTAGTATCAAGAATGGAATTTTTATTATGCAGAGATATTATAAAACTAGCTGCATAATGTATTAGAACATACCTTGTTTGTTAAAGCTGATTTCTGTAACTGGATAAAAGCCTTTAAAAGTCTTGGCCAGTTTCAGCTATTTTTCTTAAGAGAGAGAGAGAGAAAAAAAAATGTGCTACATATGTGGATTGATTTCTTTTTTTTTTCCCAGTGGAAAATAAAACAATATGTTTGTTATGCTTTTGTTTAACAATTCTAAAATGACTGGTTTTAGCTAAAGTCTGGAGGATGAGAACTTCAGCTGCAGATATGAAGGCTTTTGAAGGCTGAAATCTAAATCCCAAATGTATGATTGCCATAGCAGTTGCTAAAATCTGTGATGTAAAATTATAGGATTGTGACAAAAGTTCTTTAGTAAGCAGAAGGATTGGTTTTTTTCTTTTTAAATAGGTATTTTGAAATTTGTGTATGTTGCTTTTGAAAAGTCACAAGTCTTGGTTCTTTTCCTTAGGGATACCAGGGATCAGCAGGAACTCCAGGTATCCCAGGAACTCCAGGGATTCAAGTAAGTTTCTATTTGATTCCTAGAATTTGAATATCTGAGACAAATCCTGCCAAGTCTCTCTCAATGTCTCATTTGTCATTGAGAGCTGAGGTGTGGGGAATGAAGAGGACGTAAGGGGTGTCATGAATCAGGGGCCATCCTTGGGTGAATTGCTTTGAAATTCATATGGCTTTGGGGTTTGTTGGTAGGCTAACAGTTAGAAGCAGGGCTAGGCAAAGCCTCTAGAAGATGGACTCAGCCACAGCTTAGATATTTTTATCCCAATCCAGAAGCCAACGGTAGTTTGTTCAATTTTTCTGTGAATCTCTAGCGGTGATCTGAAGTCTTGTCATGGTCATGGATTGCCCACGATTCACAAGTCCCAAGCAAGTTTTCACATAAAGCCCAGACTGGCGGAGGAGAATTCTTTTTCTTTGTTGTATTAATTTAGTAGTTCTTCCAGAGACAGTTGTTGGAAACCTGTGCTGTATTTTACTTGTGGCCTGATCCAGTCTGAATGATAGTCAAGGATTTACTCATTAGTGGAATTAAATCCACAAAATCTGAGAGCCTGCTGGGGCCAAGAGCAAGCCTGCAAAATGGCATATGTGGAGGCTGTCTGATGGGCTATTGAAGGGGACATCTCTGGCCTCAGATGTAGACAGGTTGTGATTTTGAACAGGCTAATAGGGCTGTGTGACATTCTTTTTTTCTTTTCTTGGGGTGGTCCTTGGTTAGAAGAAAAAATTGTTTGAGTGTTCCTCAGCCATGGATTATGATAGTGTGCCATGTTCATCCATGGGTACACATTGTGCTTAGTTCTGCTTTTGTGTCCAGTCATGGAAATGTTGGAACCAGGCAGCTGACACATTGGTCTCTGGCCCATGTTGTGTCACATTTCTGTGTCTAATTCTGTATCACATTGTATTAGTATTATCAGTATTTGAGTTGGTGTTCATTTCTTTCTCAATCTAGGGACCTCGTGGCTTGCCAGGTATCAAGGGAGAACCAGGAAAAGATGGAGCAAAGGTAAAAGAACCTAAACCAGAATGATAGATAAAAAGCTTTTACTCTTACCTTTTATAATTTTTGGTTGTACAGGTAATAGTATCAGTATTTTCACATGAATGTTCTGTGAGAATTGTTTGCTAAAAGGGTAATAAGGAAGGACTAAGAATCCTAAATTTAAATTCTGAATCTGACCCTTTTTATTTATTAAAGTTTATATAGGCTTTGGCACTGCCAGTAACAACTTTAATTCACTGAATAACATATACTTAGAAAGTGTATCTAAGTATGGGTACCTGGAAGCACAATACAGACATCTGTCAGAATGGTTTTTTTAAAATTCTTTTCACCCTTTTTCTCTTTAAGTGAGTATCCAGATGATTTAGGTAGGAATTCCTGGATGGCACTTTATATCAGAAAACACTGGCTAACTGAACCCAAAACTTTTTGTGGAAAATTCTAGCTGAGGTGTAGCCAGTAGCTTGGAGATATAGACAGATGTGGAAGCTTATATGTAACTGTCTCCTGGTAATCAGGATAAACTTGACTTGGGATCTTCTGTATACACAGTGAATAAACTGCCCATTGGCTGTGGCATTCTCTCACATTTCTGCCCTATGTTTAGAAGAGTTCTAAGCTGATTGTAATGACAGTTATTTTGGTTTTGATTCATTAAAACTCCAAAGCCCTTTCTGTAAAACAAGTACTTATTTTCCCAACAGATCTTAGAATTTCTTTCTAAAGTTTCCGATAACTAGATCCTTAAATTCATTGCTGTTCAGCAGAATTCTCAAATTCATGGTTAGAGCTGAAAATTGCTTATGTGTTCTGTGCTTAATTTCATCTCAATCTAATTGATTGTAGAAGTTAATCTAATCAGTCAGTATTGGGCTATGTGGAGAAATGAAGATGCTGCTGATGAAAAACTCTAATTGCCTCACAGTGTAGGGTTGTGACAGATAGAATATTTCCTATTGCTCAGTCTAGCCTTGTGTAAAATAAGCCAAGAAATAAGGCTTCCACCACTGTTTTAGAGAACATTTCCATTGTAAAAAAGGTCTTGCCATTAGAATATTTTTCCTGGAAATTCTGCCCAAATTTTCATCTCTTTATTTCATCCCATTACTTGTAAAGTTTCTATAGTAGCTAATTTAAAATAGTTTTCATTTCCAAATGTTTTAGTTTATCCAATAATTGAACCACCACTTCTGAGTAGAAATCAAGACTCCACACTTTTTCATTAAGAAGCAATGGATATATGAAGTGTTAATTTTGTAACCTTTGCTGATTTTTAAACTCCATTCCATTGTCTGCTTTTAATAATTATTTGTTGAGAGATATTGTGATAGCATTAACCCACAAGCTGTCATTCCTGTGGTCATGTTCCTGCCTACTGCAAACACATGACAGACCTTTCCAAATCTGCAAAGGCATGAATGGCTTTGATAAACAGCATTGAGAAATGTTGTCCTGGTTTAACCCTTGTCTTAGAATTTGAAATATTATATAAAATAACTTTCTAAGCATAGTTTACTATTCCTTCTATCTGATTGAAATATAGTAAACAAATTGAAATATATTGTTCAATATAAAAGTAGGCATTAACAGAAAGAAAGCATTCTGATTGCCCAAAAATGATTTTGTGGTTAGCTGTTTTTTCGTGGGAAGTAGTCTACTGAACCAAGGAACTAGGATTGGTTTTATTGTTTCAAATCAAGTAGTGACAAGTTGTAATTCAGGATTTCATTGTTATTGCTCAAGAGAACTTGAAGACAAATTGTCAGGTACCAACAGCAAGAGTTTGGAATTCCTGATACCTGACACGTCTGAGAACAAAAAAAAGAACTGGTATTTTGCCTTGTCTTTTCAATTGCTAACTGTTTTAACCTAAGTGTATTACTTCTTCCTCTGAAATGAGAACTCATTTGTCAAATTGCCAGAGTTGTTTTATAAGTGTATTTTGGTTTAATTTAGTTTCTTTTGTAGAGTAGATACTTAATATCTTATTTTTAATACTTCACTTTTCCAGGGTAAGCTGCTAGGAAATTTCATAAGGTCATAAATACCTGCTTTTGGACCTCCGTAAGACTTACTAAAAAAGTACTGTAAATTTACTCTGAAATTTAGTGATTAAGGCTTTTCTTTCATGTAATGAATTTTGTTTAAAGATAAAAAACCTCTTATTGGTCATCATACCAATGTTAAAAGTTGATACTGTAATATATTACATGTTTCCACTATTTGTTGATCACTTGATCACAAGAATATGAATGTTGTTGTAGGATATTACCACTATTTTGATACAAGGATTTAAAATATGTTTGCTGTTTCAGGGTGACAGTGGACTACCTGGTTTTCCTGGATTACATGGGATGCCAGCACCAAAGGTTGAAATTGAATATTTCTTGTTACAATATTCCTGTGTTTCAGCTTGCCCTGTAGTTCAATATAAAGGGTAAACGTGTCTATATACAATACTATTTCAGAGAATTTGATGAATTGCTCAAGATTAATAGATATGAAAGTGATATCATGGGAAAATACATGCCATGGGACTTCATTACATAGATACCAAACAATAGAAACCTCCTGTTATTTAATATCTGTTTAGCTCTATGGGATTTTATATTAATTTGATTTTACTACTACTTAGAGGATTCTTCATCACAAATAATGTTTAAAAAAATAAAAACAATTCTCTGTCATTCTACTTGAGTGACAGCATTTTGAAGAACAGTTCTGATCTGTCATAGTGATTTTAGTTCATGTGTGTGTTCCCCAAAACAATTTTCTCCATAGTTTTTGCTCATCTATGTTAGTACTCAACAGAATTTACCTCTTAGTTTTTCCAAATTATTATTTTTAACTCTTCAAATAAGGTCCTCAGAAAAGTCCAGCCCTTTCCAAGAAGCTGAATTTTCACTTAGGTTCCTGCCTATATTGAAGCAATGAAAATCACAAAGTGTCTTCTATAGAAAGTAGAACCCTTAAGCCTGCAAGCTGTGGATTGTCTCACCATCAGTGTGGGGCATTCTGGCCTTCTCTAGGAAAACTGTGCAAATTCAGGATTTGCATTTAAGGCTTGGGCTTACATGGAGCTCTTTGCCTTCTTTGTGTCTGCTATACATGTATACTTTATTTATATATAAAGATATCTTTAGGTAACTACTTCTATTTTAAAAATTAACTTGCTCACATTTTATCTAGGGAGAAAGAGGTCCTAAAGGAGATCAAGGAGTGCCAGGAATATATGGAAAAAAGGTAAGTGACTTTATAAACATAAATTAAAGCAAAATGCTATTGGTATCTGTGATGGGGGTCACCTAGACTGGATGCCTGGTGCAAACCCCCAGGCACCTCTCTCAATCTCCCTTCTCAGCAGTACAGGGGAGAATCTAAGATGGAAAAGCTTGATGGTCCAGATAAGAGAGATCACCTGCCAGTTACTGTCATAGGCAAACCAGAGGCTACTTGGGGAAAATTAATTTAATTTATTGGCAACTAAAATAAGTCTGGATAGTGAAGAAAAAAACCCCAAAAAAACCAACTAAACCCCCTTCTCCTCTACCCTGCCTTTTCCCAGGCTCAATTTCTCTCCTTCATGGGATAGGAAATAGGGAGTGAGGTAGGGTGGTCTTTAACAGCTTCTCCCTGCTCTTCCCCTCACCCTCCCCCCCTGCTCCAGGGCAGGTCCTTCGCATGGGCTGTGGGCCTTCAGGGCAAACCTGGCCTTGCACGGATTCTCCATGGGCTGCACCTTGGTTACCACAGCTCCACCATAGCCCCTCCAAAGGCTACAGGGGAATCTCTGCTCCAGCATCCTCTTCTTGCTGTCTGCAGAGCTGCCACTTTTCTCCTCTTTCCTCATTTTGCTGGTGTCGTGTTTCTGTCCCTTGTTAAACTCATTCCACACTCCCACCCTGGCCGTGGCTCAGCCTCACCCTGCAGTGCGCAGTTGGATCCGCCTGGAACTGGCTGTGCCTGGCTGGAACCAGCTGGAACCGGTTGTGTCGGCTGGAACCAGCTGTGTCTGGCTGTGCCCGGCTCAAACCAGCTGGAACCGGTTGTGTCTGGCTGGAACCGGCTGTGTCTGGCTGGAACTGTCTGGAACCAGCTGGAACCGGTTGTGTCTGGCTGGAACCGGCTGGAACTGTTTGTGTCTGGCTGGAACCGGCTGTGTCTGGCTGGAACCAGCTGGAACCGGTTGTGCCTGGCTGGAACTGGTTGTGTCTGGCTGGAACTGGCTGGAAGCAGCTGGAACCGGTTGTGTCTGGCTGGAATTGGCTGGAACCAGCTGTGTCTGGCTGGAACCGGCTGGAACCAGCCGGAACCGGTTGTGTCTGGCTGGAACCGGCTGTGTCTGGCTGGAACCGGCTGTGTCTGGCTGGAACCAGCTGTGTCCGGCTGGGGCAGCCCTGGCCTCCCCTCATGGAGCCCCCACATTCCCACTGGGAGCCTGGGCATGGGAACCGCAGACAACATAATTGATATTTTTATAACATGCATATTCACAGAAAATGTAATTCTTTATTTACAGCTCAGAAAAATCTTCCATGCTTTTAATGGATGTATTTACATTTAGTAACATCAAATTTAGTAATGTCAAATTTACTGGATGTATTTACATTTAGTAATGTCAAACTCATGCTCTGCTTATTTGGATATTTTGAGAACCTTTTCATTCTGCTAGGGGATTGCTGTAATTCATTTTCACATAGCACAAAATGCATATATTTTTTGTGAATATGTCTATGGTGTAACACACCATATACAGGGCATATATAATAATTGTACTGCAAAGAAGTCTGTGGTTTTTAATACAGATGTACATATAACCAAGCAAGAGAGCGGGAGAGGAGTTAGGGGAGGGAGGAGAAGAGCAGGGGCTCTTCTAAAGGAGTGGGGCTGATAGCAGATGGAAAGAGCGATGTCTTAATCTGTAATTTATATAAAGCAGAGAGTATAGTTGGCCATCCAGTGTTAACAGCTATATTTTCACCTGGCCTTATATTTTCTTCATGTCTTTAGTCTAGAGTTTTAAGCAATTTGAAAGAGTGCCTGTGTTAGCATTTCTGTAGTTTGAAGCATATTTTTGTTTATGTAATGGGGTTGTAGTTAATTAATTGGCAACTGCCTGAGTTGAGAAAGAAACAGATCTTCTGTACTTTTTCAAAATAAGAAATAACATACGTGCATTACTGGTGAAATATATTGAATTTACAGCACAAACATGGAGCACTGCTTACTTTCCACTTGTTGTTTTTCTCAGGGTTCAAAAGGAGAGAAGGGTGATACAGGGTTGCCAGGACTGCCTGGGCGATCAGTAAGTTTTCTGAGGACAATTTGTCATTAGCTTTTGCTTGTTAATTTACCTGCTGATTGCTGTTAAATGTTACCACAGGGAGACCCTGGCAGAAATGGGAAAGATGGATTACCAGGCAGTCCTGGATTCAAGGTATGTAGAAATGGATATTAATATCTCGATAAAAGTCTTCATAAGCATTGCTCATGGTGCAAACATACTGAGATTATTCTGTGGAGTGTTACGGGAAATCAAAATAATGTTGTTACTGAGAGCTGTGAAAGTTTACTGCAGCAATGAGCAGATTTCATTGTTTTCAATTGTTCAGTGAGCAAAGGAAAAGCTTTTATTAAGAGTGTATTAGTGATCACTAGAGATTGTTTATGCTTTATCTCTGATATCCTTGTGTGTTTCTCTAACCCTATGATTCTGGTAAAGAGATTCATATACAAGCATACACTGGAGAACATAATTGCTTTTGAAAGGAGTTGCAGCAAAATTAGGGGAAAGTACCTTCAGTACTGGATTCATATTTTTGTGTGTTTTCTTATTCTCTTCACTATGCAGTGCTGTTCATATTTGACATAGAACAGTTTTCAAGTCAACTAAGAATGTGTCTACTGTAAAAAAGGCAACAGGACCTGGTGTTTCTAGAATGTATTGCAGTTTGTGAGCTTACTGGATGTTTTGTTTGACAAGTTGTTGCTTGCACTGTTCTAATTTGTGAAAACATAGACTTGTAGTATCAGTTATAAGTTCACAGGGAAAAGATTTTATTAATATGTGATGTAAATGCTCAATTGAATTGATCTAAAGAAGTTTTTCAACAACACCTTTGTTCCTAGAAGTTTTTTTTTTAATAATAATGAAATTATCTAGGGCTGCTCAAGATTAATGTTACTTCACTGTTCAAAAATGCAAAATTTGGACTGCATTTTGAATTTTAAATTAATATTGCTGTTTTTGGAGATCTGGATCTTCTGTTTTGTGACCATGTTTGTCTAGTGCAGTTGGGGACGCACCTGGCATATCTGTCACATCTGCTGCAGCAGGGACATATGACACAAGACCCATGAGAGACCTAAAACCTTCCGGGCAGCAGCTGTCAATGGGGTAGATCCAGGGTAATGCCAGTGGAGTCTGGAGAGTAATTCAGCTCAGAGAAGGCAGACTCATAGGTTTCAGTTTAGTTGTGCACATAAAAAGCCCCTGATGCATTTGAAATGCATTAGTGTCCAAAACATCCTCAGGGAGCTGAAAAATATGACATAAGTCCTATGGAAAGCCAGTGCCTTTCAGGAGTGGGAGTAGGCAAGATACTACGGGGTAACTCAAATATGATCAAATGATATGATCAAATGTCTGTATTTGAGCAGTGGAATTCAACTCCTGGTGTCTGGTCAGCTGAATCAATCCTCCATCAATTGTCCAGACTAGACTTCTGTTATCTGTGATATGAGCTTGGTTACCTCCAGGAATTTATTTCAAATAAATCCTCTCTTATTTTATATATATATATATATATATATATATATATATATATATATATATATATATACACATATATATATATATACACACACACATATATACACACACACATACACAGGTATCATTGCTAAGTTGGAGGAGAAATTTCTTCTCTGGTACTTCAGAACACAGGAAAAAAATAGATATTAGATTTTTTTCTTCTCTGGTATTTGGTAACATGGACAGGTAATAGTCACAGTTAACATTAACATCAAATTTTAATTGTCACTGGTGGCAATTTAGAGTGAAGCATTGTGTTGCTAAAGCATGAATTTGGAGAGTACATATATTTGGAGTATATGTTTTATGCTTGTAAGCAATATACAGAGAATTCAGAATATTGTGTAAATGTGTGTACGTTTAAACTGAAAGACATTTTCTGGACTATTTTCCTTATTGTAGTACCAAAAATATGATGTGCTCATTAGCTTTTATTAATTTTATAATACAATAGTTAATAGAAGCCATATTTTTCATTCAAACATTTTGTTAGCCTGACTTCAACATCTGCTTGCTATAAAATATTGCTTCATTTTGGGTCTGTAATCAAATTCAGAACAGTAAAAAACAGGCTGTCTTTGAAGGAAATTTCTGTAGGAGCTTTCCTGGTTTTTACAATATTAATTTTGGGAAAGAATGTGGAAAAAACATGGCTGGAAACCCAGATGCTACCCATTGTTCCTTGAAGTTCAGGTCTTATAATTTTAAGTTGATTAGTGCCAGATTATTTTATACATGTGTATGTGTATATATCTATCTACATCTATATCTATATCTTTTCCTTTTTTATGTGCTTTTATTTCTGGAATTATTCAGATTTTCCGAGTACTTCAGTATCATACATACTTTGATAAATATTTGATCATTTTTTGTATTGCTGTATTCTGAAGTACTTTGAAATATTTTTTCATAGTATTATTTATGCTAACAATTAGACAGTAACAGTCTGTTATTGTTTTATGCATTTTTTTCTACCAGAAATTGCTGTTCTGAGTGAACAGAAAACTTCCTCTCATCTCTTTTTGCAAGCTGTTTGACAGCTGTCAGACACAACATGAGAGAATGTTGGATTGATGACACTTCTTGCTGTGTATTAAACTGTTAAGAGATGTTTGTTTGGTGAAATCTCAATGTATATTGCTTTGAAATTTTACTTAGATTAAAAATATCATTTACTATTTAAAATAATAATTTTTATTGTGCAAATAAAGTTGTTTTATTAAGACTTTTTTTATTTTAAAGGGAGAAGTTGGGCAGCCTGGATCTCCAGGCCTAGAAGGACATCAAGGAGAACCTGTAAGTGATTAAATTGCTGACATATCCTTATGCACTGATTTGTTCGTTTTGTTGGGTTTTGTCTTTTTTATTTTATTTTTTTTAGTTAATAGCTATTATGCTTCATGTTTAATTAATGTTGTTTTAAATTGGTTGATATGTCCATTTTTTAAAAAATACTTTGGTTTTTTTTTGCTCTTCATCTTTAAATTTGATTTAATGAAAAGCAATGAACAAGCCCTTAAAGTCAAAGATGCCCTAAAAGAAAAGATTCTTCACCATATCGCTGTTGTATATACTGAGAGATTTATGGTATAAGATTGTCTCATTATTGAATTCTGTCCTACTGATGTTGTGGTATAGTTAAATATTAATAATTACTTACTTGAGGAAAGACTGGATGGGTTTGACTCTCATTTCTAGAAGATTACATGGTTTATCTTCTTTCAAATACTTGTTAATCACATTTGTAAAGTCTATTTTTTCACTGTATGCCACTGCCTTTCCTTTGCCCAGTTTTAGTAGCCTTTTACTTCCATGCATCTTCTTACACCACATTATCTGCATCTCTGTGCTTCTCGCTTCGCTGGGGACTGTGCTGCTTCATTTTTGCTTTGCTTCTTTCCAAAGACATTGTTCCTCTCCCAGTATTTGGGCAGCTCATTTTACCTCCCCTTAATATCTGATAGCCAGGCTTTGTCCTTCCTTGTTTCCTCCTTGTCCTCCTTTGTTCCTTCTTGCTTCCTTCCAGGCTGGCAGACTGCTTGAAGCAGATGAGCCAAGATAGCAGCTCTGAGTGCTGAGAGACAGCCAGCTGTCAGCAAACCATCAGCAATTCTTCTGCAGGCCAAGAGCAGTAAACAGAGCTCAGTTGATGGAGCACTGCCTTACAGATGAATTGCCTTCTGAATTACATTTAGAATTGTAAGATAAAGAGAATTGTAAGATAAAGAGATACAGCTTTATACAGTCCGAAATTTTGTGATACTGAATGTAATGGGAGGTAGTCTGAGTTACAGGATCTGAAATGTGATACAAAGTTTTGATAATGAGTTGGAAATAACTATTCTAGCTGAAAAATTCTGAAAGTTTTTAATTTAAATTTTTTATATAATCACCAAAACCTTCTCAAACATTTTGACTACACTGCGAAACACTGAGAAATCATGCCCAAGAGACTTTCTTCCTGCTCATCTGGCTTAAGTGAAAAACACACATAATTCCTCCCTTGGCTTTATTTTTTCCTATTTTTCTGCCCCAAATAACTGTGAGGTGTTTTAACCTTTTACAGTCTGTGGTGTCTCCAAACGTAAGAAAGACTGAATGTTAATTAAATATGATAAAATACAAATGAAGGGATTTTGGTTTATTGTAAGTTGGTATGCCTTAACAAATGTGTTGAGATAAAAGTGAGTTCTGTTATTGTCCCTTGCCTTGGTTTGCCTCTTTTCATTTTTACAAAAGAAATGTTAGTTGGCCAGTTTGATTTTTTAAAAAATTAATCTAAGAAATGGAAGGGAAAGGGCATTTCTGACCTAAAGAAAATTAAATATTTAATACATTAACAGCTGTCTTTCTAGTGTGATGGCATTTGTTAAGTATGAACTGTATCTACTACTGAAATGTATTTTGGTTTAAAGTTAACATAAATTACATATATAATATAACATTCACAATATAACATTTTAAACAGTAATGTAAACCCATCACTGAAGTCCCATAATTTTGCTTTAAAGGGAAGTGAGGTGGTAGATTTAAGACATTAAAAGTACTAAGAAGTCTTTTTAAATCACCGCAAAACACTATAGAGGGAGACTTCCAAAACGTAAACACAAAAAAATTTAAACAATCCCAAAAGAGCAAGCTAAATTACATTTTATCCTTCATTTATAATCAGTGGAGGTTCTGAAGAGTAGTAAGGCTACATGCTGACCACGAGATTGCCTCAAGGTCACCATTAGGGAATGTAAGACGCTGAATCATCCCTGCCCATCTGCCTCTATTGCTGATGTAGCACCATCCTTCATGACCAACACAGCGCTCCCATCGATTTAGAGCCTGGAGGAGGAGCAAAAAGCAGCATTTCTGCAGTTCATTGCAGAAAGGTTGAGGTGAAAATGTGTGTTTGGGTTGTGGAAATGTGTGTTTGGGTTGTGGAAAATGAAAGCTATCTTCAGCTGTGACATATATGGGCTCCTCTATTCAAGTAGAGGGTAATTGGCTTTCACCTGTTGGAAAGTGAGCTGGATTTTGGGCACTGTGAGTGATATCTTGTGCAACTTACTGCTTGTGTTGTTTCTGCTGTTCCCCCAATGTGTATTTAAAATATCATGTGAAAGTGCCTCTTCTAGGCTCCCCTTCTGTGGAATTCAGTGTAAACTTCTCTGGTGGGACACCCTTATAGTTAGGGCGCTAGTGTGGAAGAGAGGGATTGAGCTGTGCTGTGCCATCCCTGGCACAGCCTAATAGGCTGCCTAAGCACAAGACAAGCCTTGGATGATACTGGATGTCTTTATATCATTAACCAGCCACATGCAGCTGTGGCCCTGGGACAGCTCAGCAGATTGTGTGGATACCCCACCCACACAAACAAACATGCAGACAGTCTTATTTCTTTCATTCAGCCATATTAGTGTTAGACATGGCTTAATTTGTTAAGTTGATGATTTAAAAAATAGACATCTTATGATCATTCTTGCTTTAGCAAATAAAAATAACATGGTTGTGAAATGGATACATGTTGAGACATCTCAGGAGCAACTGCCTAGACTGGAGAGCATAGGTGAACTGAACTCCCATTGCCTCCAGCCTTTGAGATGTGTGGTTATTTTTTGGACAGAATACTTTCTGGTATATTATTACTCTTATTAATCCCCAAAGTTACAAATGGAAAAAGTAGGTTGTAAAGGTAAATAAATAATTTCAAGAGCTGTGCTTGATTTCCCTCAGTAATACTATTTGGAACTTCAGTTAACCAGACTGTCCCAGTTCTACCCACTCTGTAGAATAACATGTGACAGTATGGACAGAATAATTTAAGATTTGGTAAAGGTAGTAATCAAGCTTATTTTCCTGTTGACAAAACCAGTCCATGCTGTCACTTAAGTAGTTCAATGGCTAGTCATCTATCTTACTGATGACAGGCAGTTTGGATAAATGCATTGTTTTTAGGGACCAAATGTCTATAGAATAAATCAAGATTTATTTGATCCTAATTCCAGCCTGGCTGTTCTTTTTAACATAGGTAGGGTTTTTCAGAATTGGGTTTCCATGGAATCTCCTTGTGTTTGCAATTATGCAGATGGGAGCCCTGAAGTGAGTGCTTGTGGGTAAAGCTGGCAGGACATTTATAGCACTCTTCTAGGCCCAGCATATGCTCTCCTGCCACAAGTAATATGTCTGAGCATTTGCAACTGCTCATGTTTACTATCCAGAACTCACATTTTTCAGAAATACATCTGCAAACACTTAAAATGGCAGAGTTTTGTCTCAATATTTAGGTCACATCGCAAGACCTCAGATGTGGCCTCATTTGTGCCAGCGATAGCAGCACAGCGTGACTTCAGCTTCTGACCTGACTCCCACTGTTATATCTATACCCCTGGTTTGTCTATTATAATTGCATCAGGAATGCCAGATCAATGCATTCTCTGAAAAAAGTGTGTTTTATGCTAGGCAATGGTAGCAAAATTCTTTTTGAAACATGTTCAAGGTACGCTACAAAGTACAACAGAAGTTGTACTGTCTTCATAATGCAGAAATCCTGAAAACAAACTGGTATAGCCAGATATCCTGTGTGTTTGGAAAGCAAATAAAAAGTTAATGTAATTCTGCTGCATTTAATAGCTATGCTGAGATTGATAGAAACAGGAAAAAAGGAAAGAAGAATCCTTATCTAGTAAGATAGTAGTATGCAGGCAAAGTTTGGGTTTTTTTTGTTAATAATATTTTCCTCTCTATGTCACATAATGTTTTTCTTGATGCTCCTGATGTTGATGTTGATTTGTACCAATTTTAGGTACTAAGATGCCATTTACTCAACATTTGTATCTTATATTTTCATTTACATACTGAGTTATGAAGTACTTAGGATAGAAGCAAACTTAAAACCTCTATTGTGTATCTGCACAGTAGGCCTTGTGAAAAAATTCTTTTCTGAAAGTGTTACATTATTTTTTATCCATCTAGTCTGATTATTAAATTTCTACTTTTAATCTCTTCATACATTAAAGCATAAAGGTCCTGTTGTATTTCCAGTGCTCAAAAGTTCATGTATTGTGTGAATTATTTGTGGAAATACTCCACAGAGCACTATATACTCCTTCAGATTTTATATCACCTTAAATTAGGCCCTGCTATAAAATAGCACTCTCTTCGTAAGTAGTCGATAAAGAAATTATTTCCTGTCAGTTTTCAAGAGAAAAGTGGTCAGGATACTCAACAAAGTAGTTGGTGTGAGTCTATCAATTTTTTTTCATTTCTGATCTGATATTCATGCTTTTCTACTAGTCTGAGATGCCTTGATAGTAAGACCTGAGCTCTGGTAGTCTGCTTTTCAAAGGTGTTAGCATTACAGTCATGAGGGATGTAAATACTAGCATTTTCTCTGCAAATTTTGTGGGTCTCAAAAGAATACCTATTTCTTTTTGAAAATTCTCAGTTTTACCTGTAAATAAAAAAATAATTTGTTATTTAGGTGGTATGATTTTTTTATTCTTAATCATCTGAAAGTGATGATGTTTGTAGGCATGTCCCATGCATCATTATTTCTTTACAAGTAGGTTTTGTTAGTTGAATGTTCTTTTTGATATTGTTTCTTTATTCCTTCTTCTAATATCTAAATTGTAGAGGTAGGCAGAGTCTTGCTGATGACTTTCTGAGTGCTTGAGCTACATAACAGATGTTAGTTTTATTCTCAATTGAGAAAGGGGGAGATGACAGCTTTGACTGCACAAGACTCCCAGCAATCATTTGTTAATTACACAGTGCTGCAAGTCCAAACATGTTTTTTAGACTGAATG